TTTTCTTAAGGTCAAAAGGTACACAGGAATGCAGGTCTGGTGTTACAACCACTAGATAAAGCAGTAATGCAATCTCTCCCCGACCGAGGAAACAAAGATTTATGCTGCAGAATAGTGTTGGCTTTCTTCCCAACTACCTTTTTTCCTGCAAAGTCAATCATCGTCTACTCTAATTTTGGCATAAAAATCAATGGGAACGGTTACTTCTAGGTCACATCTCTCCCTCTGCAGTGCTTTCTTGTTACTAGGTTGGCAAAGAAGTTCACTGCATGCACAGTTTCTTGCAGAAATATCAGTTTCACACCCAAGACCGCTAATGGAATGGGGATCTTCTTGCTTCATAAATCCATACATTTATGAGACTGGCAGAGTGCTTTGGAAGGGAAAATGGCAGATAAAACACTGCCTATCTTGCATATTGATGCTGTTTCCAGTCTTTTAAAATAAATGTTAAGAAATGTTTTTTTTCAAAGGAAAAGAAAGGTAATTAGAAAAATTCATAATGGGCATGTGTGCATTTTTGGGGAAATGTGTGCATTTTGAGGAAAATGTGTGCAAGAGTACCTGTAAATTTCCCCACATTGAAAAGAGGGAAACCTATTGGAATGGCTTGAAATGATGAGAAATTATGAAACTTTACAAGAATGTCACTAACAAGTTTTCATGGATTGTTTCTATCAGACCAGGGGAGGGTATAGGGGAGCTTCCCTTTTCTATATGAAGCATTCCTTTGAAGTATCACTCCCACACATATATTTTATTAAGGGGGAGGGGACATGATGCATATAAAGTTCAAAAGTGGAAGGCAGGTCCATTTCTAGAAGCAAAACCAACAAGGGATCACATTATATGTTAACAACATAGGCCTAAATCCTATTGTATCCAATGAAACATGTTGTTGGGTGATATTAAATTGTTTCCAATACTAAGATGAACTGATCACAGGGAAGGTTTGTTCAGAAGAGGTTTGTCATTGCCTTCCTCTAAAACAGGCATGCACAATCTGTGGCCCTCATCTTTTTTGGCCTCCAACTCCCAGAAACCCTAGTCAGCTTGCCCAATGGCCAGAAATTCTGCAGCTGGAGGCCTAAACAACTGGAGGGTCGCATATTGTGCAGCCTTTCTGTATAAGAATGCAGCATGCCCAAGGTCTCCAGAATCATAGTTCAATACTCAAACCACTATGCTGGCTCAGGGACCTCATCACATGGGCAAAATTGCCCATCCTAAGACACTTGGATTTCAGTTGAGGCACAGAGTCCACTGGCTTCAATCACATGACATAGATCAACATCTGGTGAGGCTCCATGCCTCAATTGAAGTCCAAGCATCACAAGAGGCAGTGGCGGCAACACGGAAGGCTTCCCATGTTGCATAAGAAACAACGGGGGAAGTCGGGTGCCAATGCTTCCCCTATGGGATGGGGTGAGTGGTAAGGTGAGCAATGCATGGCAGTGGGCTTCCCATGTCCCACTCTGGATTCACTATGATCCATGGTGAATGGGGGAAGGTGGGGATGTCATGAGGTTGAAAGAGACCAGGGTTCAAATCCATGCTTAGCCTTGGAAACCCACCCAGTGACCCAGGGAAATTCCTACCCTTTCATACTCCGAGAAGGATAATGGCAAACCCCTCCAAACAAATCTTTTGATAATACCCCCATGATAGCTTTGCCCTTGGGGCAGGTCTGCACAACTGTAGCCCTCCAGGGTTTTAGCCTCCAACTTCCAGAAGCCCCTATTGCCAGCTTGTTCCATAGTCAGAAATCCTGGGAGCTGAAGTCCAAAGCACCCGGAGGGCCACAGGCTGAAGAGGCCTGCCCTAAGGTTATCATAGGTCAGAAATCTCAAAGGAAAATAACAATGAATTTCAAGTCCCAGTTTGGGAAAACCCACTCTTGGTCTTCAAACAGCTACTTTGGACTGTGGTAGTTCAACTGACTAGAGTGGTATTCTCTCATATTTTGGGTGCAGAATCAGTGGATGTGGAGGGCTGACTGTATACGCATCCCTGGCAAGCTATTATGGTTGTTGCTTTTGTATTTTTGGATGTTATCTACCTTGTTTACATTGTCAATTATGTTTTATTTTATGACTAGCCGTTCCCTGCCATGCATTGCTGTGGCTCACATGGGGGTTCTGTGTGGGAAGTTTGGCCCAATTCTATCGTTGTTGGGGTTCAGAATGCTCTTTGACTGTAGGTGAACTATAAATCCCAGCAACTACAACTCCCAAATGTCAAGATTCTATTTTCCCCAAACTCCACCAGTGTTCACATTTGGGCATATTGAGTATTCTTGTAGAGTTTGGTCCAGATCCATCATTGTTTGAGTCAACAGTGATCTCTGGATGTAGGTGAACTACAACTCCAAAACCAAAGGACACTGCCCACCAAACCCAGTATTTTCCGTTGGTCATGGGAGAACTGTGTGCCAACTTTGGTTCAATTCCATCATTGGTGGGGTTCAGAATGTTCTTTGATTATAGGTGAACTATAAATCCCAGCCACTACAACTCCCAAATGACAAAATCAATTTTTTTGAGTGAAGGGCGTACATTGGGTTGTTAGGTGTCTTGTGTCCAAATTTGGTGTCAATTCATCCAGTGGTTTTTGAGTTCTGTTAATCCCACAAACGAACATTTTTATTTATATAGATTGTAAGCCACTCTGAGTCCCTTTTTGGGAGATGGCATGGGATAGAAATAAAGTATTATTATCAGTATTATTGTGGCCAGGAGAAAGAAAGAAAGTAGAAATGGCATCTGGTTGCTAAAACAATTCTATTTGATGCAAAATGCTATGAAAAACATAATCATAGTCCTACTACTTCGCTATCTTGAGCATAAACTGGGGGGGAAATGAGACAGAAGGGGAGAGAGGCAGGGAGGAAGAGAGATTCTGCCATTCCTCTTTTGGTCAGAATTACTTTTCCTCTTTATACTTTGTAATAGGAAAGAAGAAGGAAGGGAAACCAACTTGCGCACAGCTACTTTTAAGCTAACGACCTTGAAAATGGGATATTTCAACAAAGTTGGCGGGCCAAGATAAGGTCTGACTTCAGGAATAAATTCCCTCTCACCCTTTTTCAAAAGGCAAGAAAACAGTCAATTAACAAGCCAGGAGGTTCAGGGCTTGCCAACCCAATAATGCTTCTTGGCCACATGGAAAGGGAAAAAGTGAATGAGGGATTTTAAGTGGACTGACTTGACCCAAAATTACTGTTAACTTCTGAGAAAGAAAGAGCACTTCAGTGGCATCATAGAATCAAAGAGTTGGAAGAGACCTCCTGGGCCATCCAGTCCAACCCTTTCTGCCAAGAAGCAGGAATATTGCATTCAAATCACCCCTGACAGATGGCCATCCAGCCTCTGTTTAAAAGCTTCCAAAGAAGGAGCCTCCACCACATTCCGGGGCAGAGAGTTCCACTGCTGAACTGCTCTCACCGTCAGGAACCATGCATACACTTCACATCAGAACTTTAAAAAGTTTCTGCCGTTCCCTGAATCTCTGACTATGCAGGCTGCAGGACGCTGAAAATTGCAGTCCTGTGTGTGTGTGTTTGTATCCATCCACACATCCATCAATTTTTCCATTCATTCATTCCTGTCCTTTGTTTTGCAATGGTGGAGTGCAAGATAATTTGGAATACAAAATAGTTTGGTGTAACAACACCCAACCCTAACCACAGAATAGTGCGACCTCCTCTAATTTCCATATTTTCCTCTACTCAGTGTAACTTGAATGGCTGCCCCAGGTATTGCAAGAGGAAAATACACAGCATGTAACAATGTCAAGATAAAACCAAAAGCAAAGAATAGAAACACTGCTCCACATAAAAACCAGCACTAAACTACCAGTAAAATTGGCGTAGTTGGCATCCCTGAAAGTACATGCCACCAGTAGGTACCTCCTGTGAAAAGGACTTCTCACTTTTAGTATTTTTATTTATTTATTGTGTCAGAAGCAAATTGAGGGTACAGTTATAATGTATTTAAAACACAAACAAAGTTAAAAACTTGGCATTATGCCCTTTGACCACAAGCTGGCTACTTGGAGTGCCTCTGGTGTCGCTTTGAGAAGGTCTTCCATTGTGCATGTGGCAGGGCTCAGGTTTCACTGTAGTAGCGGTCTGTGTTTTGCTCTTACCCACACTTGCATGTCGTGGACTCCACTTTGTAGTTTCATTTCTTAAAGTTAGCTCCGCATCTCGTGGTGCCAGAGCACAGCCTGTTCAGTGCCTTCCAAGTCACCCAGTCTTCTGTGTGCCCAGGGGGTAGGTTTTCATCTGGTATCAGCCACTGGTTGATGTTCTGGGTTTTTGCCTGCCACTTTTGGACTCTCGCTTGCTGAGGCGTTCTTGTGAGTATCACCGTAGATCTTACTAAGCTATTTTTTTTATTTAAGGCATTGACGTGCTGGCTGATATCCGAATAGAGGATGGGCCGGAGATGTCAATGCCTTGGTCCTTTCATTACAGGCTACTACTTCCTGATGAATGTCAGGTGATGCAATACCGGCTAAACAGTATAATTTCTCCAGTGGTGTGGAGCGTAGACATCCTTTAATATTGAGGCATGTCTCATTAAGAGCCACATCCAGTGTTTTAATGTGGTGAGATGTATTCCACACTGGGTATGCATATTCATCAACAGAGTAGCAAAGTGCAAAGGCAGATGTCTTCACTGTGTCTGGTTGTGATCCCTAGGTTGTGCCAGTCAGCTTTCATATGATATTTTTTCTAGCACCCACTTTTGGTTTGATATTCAAGCAGAACTTCTTATAAGTCAGATCACTTTTAGTAATCTACTTCTCTTTATTAAATGTGATCATGTAGAGGAGGATCTTAAATGATGACCATAGAGGTTGCATAAGGAGACATTGCTAGATGTGCTTTCTTAAATATCCTAGCTCAAAATTGAATGTATTATTGTATGCAATGAAAGGCTGGATTCTTTGTGTTTTTCTTCATGTATGCTTTCTTTTTTCCCCTCTCCTATTAGGCTGGAATGATAAAAGCAGGTGAAGATGAATATTTCATTGAGCCATTGGAGAAAGGGAAACAAAAGGATGAAGAACGAGGAAGGCTTCACATGGTTTACAGGAGGTCAGCAATTGCCAAGGGTCCAACTGATGTGCTTCCTGACTTCTACAGCGAAGGTATGGCTCATCAATATTTCCTTTAATTTACCATCACAATTCTGTAATTTTTTTTAAAAAAAAAATACCTATGTATGGAATCATATCCTCAGTTGGTCAGCATTTATGTGATTTCCCTTGTTTGTCATATAAAAGTTTAGCGTACAAAGAAATGGAATAGATTTATTGTCTGTTGAATAGCAGAGTTAATCAGCTGTATGGAAAAAATGGCAAGGTAACAGAATTTGGTTAAAGCTCGGGAGGAATATCTTAATAATAAATAATTGTTTAACTTTTTGTTGTTAAAATAACCTTTTTATCATGTCAGAAGCGAATTGAGGGTACAGTTGTAATGTATTTAAAACCACAAACAAAATTAAAAACTTGGTTTTATACTAAATGTCATTTGACCAGTATCTGGCCACTTGGAGTGCCTCTGGTGTTGCCGCAAGAAGGTCATCCATTGTGCATGTGGCAGGGCTCAGGTTGCATTGTAGTAGGTGGTCTGTGGTTTGCTCTTCTCCACTCGCATGTCGTGGACTCCACTTTGTAGCCCCATTTCTGAAGGTTGGCTCTGCATCTCATTGTGCCTGAGCGTGGTCTATTCATCACCTTCCAAGTCACCCAGTCTTCTGTGTGCCCAGGAGGGAGTCTCTCATTCGGTATCAGCCATTGATTGAGGTTTGAGTACATGACCTTCTGGGTAGCTTATGACTTTAGAATGCTATGATGTTGTGATTATCCATGAGGAGAAGTCGTTAGAACGTTTCGCAGAGGTTAGTTCCAATGGAACCCATTAGCTGTAATGGTGAAATGGAATCTCCCTTTTCAGAAGTTTTATGCTACTAAATGTCAATTGCCAGGGAAGGGAAGAAACATTTCCTTTTGCATCATTTTGGCTCCCTATAGATATTTAGTTGCCTATCATAACACATAGGATGCTAATGAGAGCTGTGATCTGATCTGATCCACAAGAGATGTTCTTAGATTTTTTTTTTGTAATGTTGATTTTTTTTGTGGTAATGAGCTGAAATTGTTTAATGCTACAGTTTTCTAACTTTCTAACTTGGGGGCATCATGCTAGCACTCCCCACTTGAAAGACCAGCTGCCCGGTGATGGAAGGAAGGAAGGGAAGGAGGAAGGAAAGAGAGAAGGAAGGAAGGATGAAAGGGAGAAACAGAAGGATGGAAGGAGAAAGAGGGAGAGAGGGAACAACAGAGGGAAGAAGGAAGGAAGGAAGGAAGGAAGGAAGGAAGGAAGGAAGGAAGGAAGGGGAGGGGAGGGGAGGGGAGGGGAGGGGAGGGGAGGGGAGGGGAGGGGAGGGGAGGGGAAGGGAAGGGAAGAGAAGGGAAGGGAAGGGAAGGGAAGGGAAGGGAAGGGAAGGGAAGGGAAGGGAAGGGAAGGGAGTGAATGTTTCAACTGACCACCTTGATTAACATATAATGGCCTGACATTGCCTAGAGCAAACTTTTGTCGAGAGGTGATTAGATGTCCTTGTTTGTTTCCTCTCTGTTGTAGAGCTGGTGTGCTAGTTGTAATCATTCATGGATAGTCAGGTTTTTCTCTTTTTTCCCTCTTATAGTGCCGAGCAATCCCTGTTGCCTCGGCACTATAAGAGGGTTTCTCAAGACCAGTTGCTCTCATTGCCATGTGGTTTCGAGGCAGCTGTGTAATAATGGTGAGGCCGCAGACCTTTTTTGTTTTGTTTTTGTGGACCACTGGTGGAACCCACTGATCTAGTTTAACCCACTCTGTCATGCAGGTATACACAATCAAAGCACCCCAGACAGATGGTCATTGAGTCTCTGTTTTAAAACCTCCACAGAAAGAGACTCCACCATATGATGCATGCCTGTGCTTTTTTTCTTGAAGAGCTGAGGGGGTAAATCCATTCTAAGGAGATTGTTATTTATAAAGGTAGAGTGCTGTGTGATTGGTTTACCTTTGGGTTACCTTGCTGGGAGTTGTAATTAAGGAAGTCAAATCACCCAAGGGGGGGATGTGTGGGAGGGCCCCACTGCTGGGTGTCTTGGCAATCCATTTACAGATCAGAAGGTTGATTACTTCCCACTTCTATCACCGCTGAGAACAGACGTAGCACACTATTGGATTTGAGGCTTACTAAAGCAGCTCTTGGGAAACAGAGCCACAAAAAGAATAGACCATTTGTGTTGGCACTAGGGTTGGTAATACCTGGACTCACATTGTCAACCCTCCCCCTGGACTTCCTCTACAAGATCATATGACAATATGGTAAAATAATAATAATAGAAAATTTGACTATATAAAACCAACAACAACAAAAATAACTGCGCTTGTCGGGCATGCAGACAAAAATACATGATTCAGAGTATATTTGTAATTGGGTAGTAATAAAAGCCCTGATTGGTGCACCTGGACACTAAAAGGTTCAAAATGTAAATTAGCATAGTGCTTTAGCCTTGTAGGTATCTTGAGATGGTACAAATAAGCTGGGCTAATAGAAAATGTTTTTGTGGTAATGAGCACAGGTGCATGCGTGTTTATATACACGCATTACAACCCCCCCCCCACACACACACACACACATATATAAACAGGTGTGCTAGAGCAGTGTTTCTCAACCTAGGGGTCGCAGGGGGTGTCAGAGGGGTCACCAAAGACCACCAGAAAACACAGTATTTTCTGTTGGTCATGGAGGTTCTGTGTGGGAAGTTTGGCCCAATTCAATTGTTGGTAGGGTTCAGAATGCTCTTTGATTGTAGGTGAACTATAAATACCAGCAACTACAACTCCCAAATGTCAAAGTCTATTTTCCCCAAATTCCACTAGTGTTTACATTTGGAAATATTAAGAATTCGTGCCAAGTTTGATCTAGATCCAACATTGTTTGAGTCCACAGTGCTCTCTTGATGTAGGTGAACTACAACTCCCAAACTCAAGGTCAATTCCCACCAAACCCTTCCAGTGTTTTCTGTTGGTCCATCGTTGGTGGAGTTCAGAATGCGCTTTGATTGTAGGTGAACTATAAATCCCAGCAACTACAACTCCCAAATTACAAAATCTATCCCCCCCCCCCAATCCCACCAGTATTCAAATTTGGGTGTATTGAGTATTTGTGCCAAATTTGGTCCAGTGAACTAAAATACATTCTGCATATCAGATATTTACATTACGATTCATAACAGCAGCAAAATGACAGTTATGAAGTAGCAATGAAACTAATGTTATGGTTGGGGGTCACCATAACATGAGGAAGTGTATTAAGGGGTCGTTGGATTAGGAAGGTTGAGAACCACTGTGCTAGAGAGAAACATAAACAGGTAATAAGGAATTGTCAGAGTCTCATTACCCTGTGCTTATTTTACATTTTCCCTTTACAGCCTTTCCCATTAGAGTCAAAAGTAATAAAATGGTTGTTCCCTAAGAGGTGCATAGGGAAAGAGGGAAACATACCTAAACCAGTTCCCTCATGGGTTGAAAGGTTTAGCTTTTCCCCTCACACCTGGCCTCAGGATACTTGGGCAGACAATAGGGAACCCTCTATTTGGGACCTGATGGTGGCTGCAGGACAGTCCTGCACCTTTAGCTGTCACACTAAAGCCCTTCCCCTGATACGTGTCTGCCAAATGGTAATCTAACCATCACATCCAGGCATCTCTCTGTCCCTTGGAAAGGCACAATTGATGGTCTCAGAGCCCACTTTCACAATGGGCCAGTCATGGTCTGGAGACTCAAAACCTACTCCTCACACTTTCCCATGCACAACTGTTATCTCATTATTCTTGGAGCAAAAAGTATATAAAGGTAACTATAATAATATTTTTATAATAAATTTCTGGCAAAACACTGCACAAAAATGTATAGACAGTAGGTTTGGTGCCACCCATCTGATGGTGACTTCAAGTGTGGTATTTATTTATTTATCGTGTCAGGCAACCAGACAATTGTATTATATTTCTAACAGAACAAAACAAACAAACAGACAGACAAAACTCAAAATTGCAAGCTTGGTAGTTGATTAAATGTCCTTTGACCAGTATCTGGCCACTTGGAGTGCTTCTGGTGTTACTGCAAGAAGGTCCTCCATTATGCATGTAGCAAGGCTCAGGTTGCATTGCAGCAGGTGGTCAGTGGTTTGCTCTTCTCCACACTCGCATGTCATGGATTCCACTTTGTAGCCCCATTTCTTGAGGTTGGCTCTGCATCTCGTGGTGCCAGAGCGCAGTGTGTTCAGCACCTTTCAAGTCGCCCAGTCTTCTGTGTGCCCAGTGGGGAGTCTCTCATCTGGTGTCAGCCATTGATTGAGGTTCTGGGCTTGAGCATGCCATTTTTGGACTCTCGCTTGCTGAGGTATTCCAGCGAGTGTCTCTGTAGATCTTAGAAAACTATTTCTTGATTTAAGTCGTTGATGTGCTGGCTGATACCCAAACAGGGATGAGCTGGAGATGTCTCTGCCTTGGTCCTTTCACCATTGGCTGCTACTTCCCGGCGGATGTCAGGTGGTGCAATACCGGCTAAGCAGTGTAATTTCTCCAGTGGTGTAGGGCGCAGACACCCCGTGATAATGCGGCATGTCTCATTAAGAGCCACATCCACTGTTTTAGTGTGGTGAGATGTGATCCACACTGGGCATGCATACTCAGCAGCAGAGTAGCATAGCGCAAGGGCAGATGTCTTCACTGTATCTGGTTGTGATCCCCAGGTTGTGCCAGTCAGCTTCTGTATGATGTTATTTCTAGCCAGTGCTTCTTATAGGTCAGAGGACAGTCCAGAGTGACTCCCAGGTATTTGGGTGTGCTGCAATGCTCCAGTGGGATTCCTTCCCAGGTAATTCTTAGAGCTCGGGATGCTTGTCTGTTCTTAAGGTGAAAGGCACATGTCTGTGTTTGTGGTCATACTCACCCTAGTGATGGCACTTTGTTGTTGTGATGGCATGCCTGATCCTTTGGGAAAAACTATAGTGTCTGGCTTTACTCAGGGGCTATCTATATACCTTCTGATAAGATTTAGACCTTTAACACAGAGAGGCACTTTAGGT